ATCCTGTAAAACATTGGTAAAAGTTCAAACAATAGCCCAAATGAAAAATCATCAACAACAATTAATGTGAGTTTTTGCAGTTTAATATGAAAACGTATATTTCACACAATAACCATTATAAATTGTTTTTAGAGGTTGTATTAAAATATAGAAAAGAAAATTACTTGTGGGCAGACAAAAGTATTATGAAGCAGCCCGTATTTGCTAGAAATGTAATAAATCTATAGAGGGCAAAATTAATGTTTTACATCCATGAAATAAAGTTCACAAGATGATACCATTGATTTTCCTTTTCCCTTTGTTTATACATAAAAAATTATCTGAAATAAAGAATAGAAGTGCAACAGAGTCTTGAAGATGAAATAAAGTATAGAAGTACAGTAGTAGAAGTATATAAATGCAATGACACATAGAAGATGATACCATTTAGTTTCCATTTCCCCTTGTCAATACATGAAAAAGTATCTGCACAATAGCCTGTGCAGAGCGTGTTTAAATGTTGAACGCTGGTTAAAACATTCCTGTTTTTCATTTACGAAAATCGAACACAACGCCACCCACCCTCGTGACTTGAAATCCCGCCGCTAAAGAATGTTCTCCGGAAATGAAAGGTGTGACGTCATTGAAACGTCTCTCGCGTATCGCGGGGGCAGCTGCGTGCGCGCTATCCAGCGTGTGGCTGCACGCACCCCAGGCCCCGTCACCGCGTCTTCCCCGCTGCCAAGGGCGTCTCGCCCGCCGGACTTGCTCTATCGGAACTGGCTGCCACCTCTCTCAGCGACCGACGTGCCGGCGAGGTGAAGTCAACAGCCCGCACGCAGATAAACGAAAACCGGGGGACTGAACGTTTTGTTTGTACTCAGGAAAGGCCAATGGACGTTTCTAGACTTGGAGTCTTACATTCTTGAACCTTTGAGACTCTTAATTTGCGACCTTTGCATGTAAGTACATCATATCATGTCCAATGAAGTTCTAACACTTGTTATCAATGATGATTGACGTCAATAATGTAATAAATACTTGTATTTTGAATGCATCAAGTAGGATTAAAAAGTTCTCGGTTGAAAGAAAGGCGTTGCGAATTAAGATTGCAAACCAAAGGATTTCAATTTATTTTCTATTTTTTCGGCATGTGTTTTGCCTTTGACCTGCACATTTTTTGTAAATGTTAGTAGTTTTTGCGTAATATTGCGTGCAATATTAAAAAATACCTAAAACAAGATTTTCTCGAAAATTTCACCACATTTTTCTTTAACACTTTGGTAACGCTGGTACAGAATGTACTCTATAAGATGACATAAAAACCATATTGACCTATTGTTTTGTTTTTTCCAATATTTTAAAAAAGGTAAATTTTTTGAATTTCCTCTCACGTCATTAATATTTACATTAGCATGATTTCTTCACATTATTAATTTTATGAGTACATGAGCTTCAAATGATGTCTTATAAAGTTTCTCGAAAACTCAAACGTTTTCTGAGAAAATGAGCTCAAAATTCCGCGTATTCAGAAATGTTTTAACGTCATTTTCTTCAAAACCGCTCCAAATTTTTTCTTCGAGTTATTCATCCGGATAGTGCTGATTGCACTCTTTAAGAAGACCTAAGATGCATTTAGGTGTATTCCTTTTCTTGTTTTCAAAGATTACACAAATGTATTTTTTTTTTAATTATCTTACACCACATAATTTTCCATACATTTCCAGAGATTTGTATACATTTTTGGGTCTGTGAGTTTATGTGCTTTAAATTGAATTGAATTGAATTTGCCTTATTTTACGTGGCGAGACTCGGGCCATCAGGCCCGCTCTTCGTCTGACCAACGCAAATTTCGCTACGCTCCTTCCACCAACTAGGAGAGAAAGGAGGTATTTCCTTGGGCGAGAAACAGGCGATTTTTTTGAATTTAGCTCAGAGCGTCATTTAGGCTTGAGGATCTTTTACATGCAAGTAAATCTACGAACATGGACAGCGGCTTTACTTCCTCCTCCGAAGGAAGGCGTACGAAGGATTTTTTCGCCCTTAAAAATCCACCGGCTCGATCGGGTTTGAACCCGCCAACTTGGGTACAACAGTCCAGTACGCTAACCGTTACACCATCGCCATCGCATGACTATTTATTGGAACGTCCTATATAATGTGAGAGAGTTCTACACAGATGTGAGAGAGGCTGGGTCACGGTATGAGAAATACTGAATATTGCTTGTGTCGTTAGATTCCTGATGATCTAAAATCGACTGCAGTTCTGAATTTGATTGACATGCATTGTCAACATCCATGCGGCTTCACACGTGCGGCATTCGGCGAATCCCGAGCAACCGCACCTCCAATCCCGAGTAGTGTGGACGGGTGACGTGCGATTCGCCGAGCGCCGAACATTCGGTATTCGTTTATCCCGCCGCGTGACGGCCTTTAGGGCACACCAAATGGGGCAAACATTCGCCGAACACATCAACTGCTCGGGATTGGGCGAGCAGTAGCTCACTGCTCGGCGAATACCAAGTATGTAGAGCCGCCTTTAGTTATAAAAATCAGAATTTTGATTTCATTCGTAAAATTCTGAAAACCATTTAAGCTGCTTTTAGACACGTTAACTGGTAGAACGTTTTCTGTGTTTGGCTGTATATTCTTACCGACACACTGATTTCAGAGAGCACATTAATTTTGTTATATACTGGAGCGCTGACAGTGATTTCGATAACTTCTTTGCAGGTTTCTGAACATTTCACTTTTAGTTCGCTCACTTTCCACAAATTGGCAATTATAGTTATCTTATCTTTTCAGGCAGTGAGACTTTCATGAAATGCAAAGTAAGGCAGCAAATTAAAGTGCTATAATAGCAAGTGCCTATTCATTGTGAAGTACTTTGATAATTCATTTGATCATTGCACTACTCTCTTTGTTGTTAATGGAGCAATATATTTCATGGTATTTGGTCATAGGCTACCTGCAGATGGGGCAGCTGATTTCGTACATTTTTCTACTTTTTTTACTTCTCATTGTAAAGCTAATAAAATATTTTGTAGTTAACTCGTCCTTTCCGCTGAGTTTTTTTTTTTATTTCTCCTTCACATTAGCACAGTGAAGTGGGATTTTTTTGTGAATAGCACAATATGTAGTTTGTTTTCCTGTACTTGTCTTGAGGCTTTAATAGTTTGATGAGGTCTTTATCTTAAATAAACAACCTAAAACTGACTAATTGTCAAATTAATTGAGATATTTGGCACAGGAAATTTTTAGAAAAAATGTTTTTTTACTCATAATACTAATTGTTGGGAACTATTTGGAGCAAAAGTTTTATCTTTTTTTATCATTCAAAGTACGCTACATTAATACTTTATTTACATAACATTCGAATGAGTGCTATGTAAGATACGTAAACACATTCACCGACTTCATTATATTTAGTGGAGCTTGGGGGTCGAACCCCAACGAGAGTTTTCTTCTTATATAAATTAAAATCTACTTCATTTTATTTCTGATACGATATGAGATTCATTTTCTTTATCATGAATTTTTCGTTCTAACAAAAAGCGTTTTAACCAATAATCATGGTAAACACTTCAATGACAATGATACAATAATGAGATTTTAATTATTCCCTATATCATTCGTGATGTATTTAGAATTAGTATGGCCAAAATTTAGCTAACTGGTCCTCAGATCATTTCAGAATCTTAAATAGCTTTAACATCCGTAGTCAAATGGCCAAGTAATATCATCGACTTGTGCATAATATTTGTTATGAAGGAGTCTGGAAACAAAGACAAAGTAAATTTTCCAGGAAAAGTTCCATTCTCAACTTGCCAAACCAGTACCGAAGGCAGTTCTACGAAACGATGTTCATTGACAGGTCCATCCAGCGCAAAGTGGTCTAACGAACTCAGGATAGCTTCCCTTCGTGTAAACACACTACATTCTCGGGAGACGTCATTATGTCTTCTTGTCAATGTGTTCACCATCGTTAACGATGCAAAGATCAATGAACCCATCAAGCTGGTTAAAGAGAAAATTTTAACCCTCAAAAGTTAATACTAAATAATGCAATATTTACTCAAAGACCGACGTAGATCGGTTGTAGGAAAGCAACTAAAAGATCAATAGTTGTTATTTAAAAGAAATGTATTTAGTATAAAAGAACTTGTCCGAATTTACAGCAAAATAAAAAAATATTGTAATTGTAACTAGAATTGGCCCCACTATAGAAGTAGTAGGTATTGACTGCCTTCGATCAAACTTCTGAGCTAAAGAGAAATTCACAGTCATGAATTGCTTTTATTAATGCACGTGTTTCTCTACTACTAATTTTGCGATCAACAAAGCGATCTTAAGAAACATAATATTTTATTAAATACAAAAAATGAGCTTATTAGTGTAAGTCAGAAAAAATTTCAATTTCGCAGTGCGACAATTCAATTTCACAAGTGACATGGTAGACCCGACAAAAATGTGAACTTATTTTGAGTTTAACGAGTTCATAGTTAACTTAATAAATTGATGTTTGCAATCGTAACCCCTTAGACAATTTACGATTCTAAACGCTTACTACCAAAGGCTTAATTCCAAGTGTGTATAACGTATGGTAATTCTTGATGAATCCCTTGGTAATCTTTAGAATTCCGAAATTCGAGCTGTTACGTATTCACGGACAAAAAAGAAAAGGGAACTCGTACAGCAAATGATGTTATTTTCCTCCAGATCTCAGCGAGCTGCCATCCAGCGGTGCGCAGAGAGGCGGTGGCAACGGCGGATACCGCGTAGCAGAAGCTGGCCGACGAAGACGTCCGGCGGGCTGGCGCCGGGGTCGCTGGTGAAAGGCGCGCCGCGGTAGCGGGAAGGGCGTTGGCGTCGGCGGCAAGGGCCGGGGGAGGATCCGTAGGGGTTGCTCGCCAACCGCACCCCCGCGGCGACGGCGGCGTCGGCGTCGGCGGCGACGGCGGCGACGACGGTGGCGGCGGTGGCGGCGAAGGCAGCGGCGACGGGGGCGGCGGGGCGTAGGTATGTCGGCGGGGCAGCGGCCCCCGGAGCCGCAGTCACCTCTGCAGTTGCACGCCGAGCGGCCGCTCCCCGCTGCAGCGACGCCCGAGCCCAGCTCCTCGCCCGACGCCTCCGCCTCCGCCGCGGCGCCCGGCGACATGACCCTCGGTAAGTCACGCCCTCCAGCGATCCGCGATACTTTGCTCAATCGACTTTTCGCTTAATGCATTCATCTTCAAGATCTTATGTTTATCAATATTTTGTACATGCCGAACAGTCACTGTATGTTTATTGACGTTCCATTGTGTTTATACACAACTATTTATCGATGCAAGGTTCTAATCGTGAAAATTACCATTTAATAATTGAATTACACTGAGGATTTCATTGAATCAGAAACGCCGCGGACCAACTTGTGGCAGATATTATTGTTGTATGAAAATGTGGTGCTGTCTGTTGTGAAATATAGTTACTCACATTAGTTCACGTGAATGTCAAAATGCTAGATTTGATATTTCAATGTTTCAGTGATAATTCTTTTACTATATAGAAATTTTCAAAAGCATTTTTTAACGTTAAGAGTTAGAACTAACTGATTTACTGTTTAATGAATGCGTCCTATTTTGTCAGTCCTTTATTTGAAGTAATCATGTATGTGCGGTGAATATTTTCCGTTTTCTTATTTTCGCGTCCAAGTAAATCAGTTCCTTTGGAGTGGTAAAAAACTCCCAAGACCGAAAACTGTTGCTGGTTGCAAGCCCAGAGCACCGCCCTGGGGTGAAAGTGTTATGCCTAACGCAGCCGTGTCCAACAGGTGACGAAGCGCTGGCCGCGAGCCTGTTCCGGCGCGCGCCCCCCGACTACCCGAACTTCCAGGCGCAGCCTGCGGCCATGGCCGGGGCCGCCTTTTCCTGGTCGGCGAGCGAGGTCCTCGCAAAGCACAAGCTGAACTTCGCGGGCCTCAAAATGTGTTACGGAGATGGTCCTCTGCCGCACCCAGGACCTCCAGGTAGGTTTTGATTCACATAAAAAGAAAATTGCGAACAGTTGCTATTGACATTTTTGTTATGTTATTCACAAAATAATGTTTTAATTGTATATGTCATTTTAGAAATATATTAGAATGTACTTTATTTAAGCATTTTGTTTTAGATTAAGATTTTGATTGTTGAAAGTCGACGAAACAAATAAATACCTTTAAGTTTATAACAGGAAACTTCAATGCAGGAACGAACAGCGAACTCGACTTGCGGAACGGAACGTTTTAAGTATTACGAACGCTGATTTAGCGCAATATTTAGAATAGTTTATTACGAAATTCAATTTGTTTTAAGGTACTAGTACTAAGATTTTCTTTTTAATAGTCCCTCCCTAATTCATAGAACATTCGTGATTGTTAAGGGGATTAAAAGAACAAATTCCTCGATATTTGACATTCATTTACCCAGTATTCTGTAAAATTAAAGTGAATATTTCAGAATTCGCTTAATGGATATTTATATTGATACATTACTAGATTACGTATAATTCGAGGCAGATATGTACGTGACTTTGCCCTTTTAGTTGTAATTGCCAGTTTTTTTCTGAGAGTAAGAGTTAAAAAATATAAATGTTTGTTTTACGGACATTTTCTAATAACTTTTAGAATTATCCTATTTCTTGCCATTATTGTCAAGGACTAACGGAAATCATATATTTTTCTTCCGGAATTCATAAAACAGTTGTCACTTCGATATAAATCATCCCGCCTTCTCTCGATGTGGATATCGACTTTCCGAGTTTACCCTCGACCTCTGACTCCCGCGCGGTGACGTATCGGCGCCCAGCGAGTCGCTTCCGAGCGGGCATGGATTTTCCGTCAGCGACTCCAAAATAAAATCTATCAAACAACCGCGCGGCTCTCACAAACAAGGGGTATTGAGCGCTCGCTCGCCCCGCTGCCGTCCGGCTGCGCCTGTTGTGCGGCGGAGTGACGCCCCTGGGAATTCGCCCATGCGGGCGCGGGCGCACACGTGAACACGCGCGCATCCGTGTTTTGGTGTTTTTCTGGAAGATGGAGGCTCGTTCTCCACTGTTTTTGAGAACGCACTGCGAAAGTGAGGTCGATCTCTCCAACGCAACAGCCACGGCGCGCGGCGACTGCGGGCGCTCACGTTCGCTTTCTGTTTCCACTCAATTAGCCTGCTTTTGCACGGTTTACACCGTTTTCTACGAAATGCAGTAAAGGGGCAAAGACAAATGTTAGTTTCATACATTTTTAAGAACCGATATGACGACATTATTACATATATGATTAAGGAAGTAAATTCAATAATAATATTTACGGAAGGAAACTAGTATTTTACCCATACAGTAAGGCCTAAAGCCTTCAAGATATCTACACTTTATATACTTATAAAAAAATCTATTAACATCCACTCTTTCATATATAAAAAAGGTTACAACACTTCATTCAGGAACAGCAAACTTTTTTAAAAGAAGTCACGACTGTGCTCGAACATTGGACTCTTAGAAGAGCCTTTCTAGATTGTTACCGAAATTTGCGAGAAGATGGTTGTGGTCTTCCCCATGCGTTGGGGTAACGGAAGGAGCAATTTTACACTGCAATTATTATTGCTTCCTGACTCTGATTACCATTATATTCAATTTTTAAACTAAAAAAATACACGACCCTCATACGCTGATGATAAACTTCAGTTTGACGATAAAACTATCGCAAATGTCGTCCAAGTTTGTTCTTTTACCCCTCTTCCCCTTATTCGTTTTTTACTTCACTTGCTCTTCCAGAAACAATATGTGGATGTTCCCCCGATCCTCTAAACGCACCAAACATAAACATAAAAATACCCTTTCTAGAATGTAACTGAAATTTGCGGGAAGTTTGTGGGCTTCCGCATGCGTTAGGGAAACGGAAGGAGTAATTTTATACTGCAATTATTATTGCTTCCTGACTCTGATTACGGTTATATTCAATTTTTAAACTACGACCTTTATACGCCGATGATAAACTTTAGTTTGACGATAAAACTATCTCAAATGTCACCTAAGTTTGTTCTTTGACCCTCTTCCTCTTCTAGAAACAGTATGTGGACGTTACTCATATCCTCTACTACCTTAGAAGATGCGAGAACTCTTTCAATATAAAGTAACCAATGAACGCAACAAACAGTATCCTCTCGGTGTAACACATCAAATATTTTAATCAATTTTACTCTCACAAAAAATACCATTTACTGGAAGTACATGGAACGAACAGTTGACAATAAGGACATTACTTCAGCACCCATACATAGGATAAAATTTTGATCTTAAACTAGCTCATAGTGGGTTGCAATCATAAAATATATATCTATTTACACAAATAATGGAAGAAGTTGAAAGAACTGGCAATGCCATCTGCATGTTTTTTGCAAGTTTATTAACAAGACAAGCTCGGAGCGAAAAGTGGAGAGAATTAAGTAGGCGAGTGTGCATTAATCTTTGGGCGGGCGCTCAGCCGAGTAAGAAGGCGCCTGCCCCTCTAATTGGGCGGCGATTGGGGCGCAGCGCGTGGCGACCCCGGCCGGGGTCTAATGGCGGCGCGTGGGGAAAAAGCCCCGGCTCTATTCACAGGTGTCCTGCCGCCCCCGCAGCGCCGCTTAAAATTAATTTCCCGGTGATAGATTAGCTTTCTTGCGGCGGCGGCGGCGGTGCCGCATTCAGGGCCCGTCGTGGGCAACCGGGGGCGGCCGCCTCCGCCGCCGGACCTCGGGGAGGCTGCCGCTCCACGGGGATGAGCGAATCTGCTTCCTCAGAGACGGTCTTGACCAACTGCGCCGTTTCGCTCCTCATACAAGTATTCACCTGCCGTCGCCTACTCATTTGGTTTTCATTGCACCTTTTATTGTTAAAGCACTAATTACCGAAAAGCTTCATTTATTCACGTCTTTACGTCTACTTTAAAAATAATGCTATCATACACGTTCACTAATGAGAACTATTATCCTAGTAAAAAATAATATCCATTTAAGCATTTTTCGGGGTCGTGAAACTAAGCTGTACCTCTGGTAGCGTTATTTCCCAATAAATGTATAAATAAAATGTTTGCTCTCAGTTCCAGGAACCATCTTCTTGGATTTCCGCAAATTAAAGATCCTAGGGTTATAAACGTTCCTATTTTCTCCACATGTTCGTACTTTTCCCACATGGAAGTTAATATTTAACGCTTCTGACACCTGTGATGCAAATTATGTCGTACGTACTGCAAAAAATCACTTTTGAAAGACGACTAGCCGAGTGAAGAAACGAATATGTAATAATTACAGTAAGGATATAAATTAATACTGACGAACACTCAAGGACATTTTGAGGTAGTTAAAGAACGCCTTTCAGATAAAATGAAACTGCTCACTGAACTTAGTTTCTTCTTCGTAAATTTGGTTATTATCAGCTACGTTATTTACTTTTGCTTTTCAAAATCCCTGCTTCATTCCGCTTATTTTTACACATGTATGTAGTAACACGAGTATTTAAAGAGAATGTTTTTTTATTAAGGAAGACAACTCTTAAAATAATCTTCCCGATCCAAATATGTAGAGATGCTTTAGTATAGCAGATGATTTGCCGCTTTTACACAAGAATTTCGAAACAATTACTTATTACTTTCATCAAACTTAATTGAAGAATAGCAGTCAGGGTATCTTTTGAAAGGAATGGGCACTTCATTTCATCAGGCCTTTGAGTGGGAAAATCATGTATTTTTTGTAGCTCTTGGACGGAATTTCAGCTACAGGAATCGTTTTCTTACAACAAAATTACTTTTATTTTTGTACTTATATGTATATTGTAACCTTTTAGAATCGATATTCATAAGAAATTATGCTTGTGAAGTTGTGTAACACAGTTGCGTATTTGTAGCGTGAAAGAGATCTAATGACGACGCGCCTGAAAATTAACATACCGCATTTCTTAAAAAAGCAGAAGTATAGTTAAGCGATTAGCAATTTTTTGCGTCCTGAAACATTCCACCCCGAGCCCCGTGGTGTATTATGCGTGGCCTACCCCGTGACGGACAAGTGTCACGTGATCCCGTGTACGGCATGATTCTGGAGCCCGGGCGATCGCCCACGCGTCTCGTGCGAAAGGCGGGGGTGCGTTCGTTAATCACGGGCTCACCAGGGCGGAGCGGAGCGGCAGACAACGGGCGTGTCGGGGGAGGATGAAGGCGGGCGAGGGGCGGGGGCGGAGCGGCCGGTAAGGCCAGCTTAGGTCGCGGCGGGCCCCCACGCCCCCTGCGGGCGCCGCGTCGGCCCGTCGCGTCGCGTCGCATGGGCGGCGCGTGCAGGCTGCGACGTGGACGGCCCCGTCCGGCGCGCCGGTGAATGCGCCCGTCTTATGCAGTAATGCCGGCGCCTCCGCCGTCGCGTCGAGGATTTCAACGCGGGACGGACGCGAGCGTCCTCAGCCTCCGGCACGCGGGGGCAGGGGATCCAGCTGTCCTCCGTGAGGATGATGGATTTCTGCGCCGTTGCTCTACAGAAAACCACATGTCTCGTAATCATCTACTACTTACAGCGACTCATGTGTAAATTCTCTGCGTGGGGATTAGACGTGTATTGCGTGTTGTGTAACACGAGAAGTAACGCAGTGCAAAAAATAGGAGACACGAGATAGTTAAATTATACTGAATGTTAATGTAATTGGAAATGTAAAAATATGTTTACTGTTCATGGTTTACTATACTTTCTCTAGAAATAAGAATAAAGAAGTAAACTTTAGTGCTCCTATAGGTCATATGCACTTCCTTCTTCGCATTACATGTAACTGTATTATCGCGACCTCAGAACGATAATATATTATTTCACTTTTTTGCAAAAATATTTTGACATGCTCGAACTCTATTTGCTGATCTACAGCGTATCAAAATATTTATCAAATGGGGAAGCGGTAGAAAACAATCTATGAAATGAAAACAACATAGCAGTTGGCGTGTCATTTATTTAAAACCTACAAACTTTCAAATTCTTACGC